CCGCTAACACCCCCCGGGCCTGGCTGTCTCCCCCCTTCCTGTGGTCACAAGTGTCAGATGCGGTTCTGAAAAGCCGCATTTTAAAACGTCTCCAAACTTCAATCAATGCATAATTTAAGTTGTTTTTTAGTTTGAGATCTTCATATTAACATTGTAGTGTTATACAACAGCATTAAAAGACAGTTTAACTTAATCTAATCAATTTATGTCATTAAAATCTAATTCCAGTTCAAACAGAATAACCTATTGTCAACATATGATTTATTTTCAACTCGAAATATTTTCTAAATAACGAAATATAAAGTTATTAGTGAAGAAAACCCGTCTGGATAACAGCAGACTGGCTGCTCGTAAAATATAGGACAGGTCTGGACCATTTTGTTCGTATCTGAAGAAAATCTTAGAATACGAAAACATTGGTGAATGTCACAAATTCTCCTAAATCACTCGTACGCACAACTTGAGAACAAATCTGTGCGTACGAACGGTTCTTGCATGAGGCCCAATGAGTCTTTTTTTCGTGCAGATTAAGTAAGGCTATAAAAGCAAAGTGGAGGAACTACCTGAAGCTGGGCAGGGGCACCCAGGTGGGTAGGAGCCAAGCGGCGTGGCTGAAGCCTCCGTCCAGGTCGGCATAAAGCTGGGCTACTCGCTCGTTGAGCATGCTGCGGATCTCCTTCCCATGAAGGCAGCTGCTGGCTGTTAAAATGATCAGCTCTGACAAAGCCTCAAACAGGTCTGAAAGGAGGAAAAAAAGTTCACATGGTAAGAAACGTGTACGTAACAAACACATTTTAATCATATTAACCACAAAACATCTAACTTCTCTCGCCGCTGTCTCCCCATCTCTGAAAATAATCAACGGTCTCTGCTTCAACTAGCTTGACATGCTGCTTAAAACGAGCAATGTTCAGTCCAGTTTTAAACATCTTCTTCTGTTCCAGAAAAACCTGCAGCAGAATAAACCAAACGTTTGTCACAACAACTCACTTAACACGCACAAAAGTGTAATAAAAAGTTACTCACGTGGTTCGGCACATCGTAGGCCACTCCTTTGCCGAACACTGGAGTGGTCAGTTTGGAATAGACATCTTCTGCGTTCAGGTCTTCATTCTTGCTGTTGAACATCAGTGCTGCCGCATCGCTGCCCAACAAGAAGGTGAAGGTTTTCCCCACCATGGTGAAACTGAACACAGGGCCGTACTGCAGGGGTCAGAGAAAAAAAGACACAAAAAATGCTTTCTTGCACCTGGGTAAAAATAACAATAATAATAATAATAATAATAATAAGCACATGTGCCAAAATTTTCCAAATCACATCAACAAAATTCCCCCACAGCCGAGGAAAAGATTCATTGCCAGTTATCACTAACAAGTGACTGCTGATGTGAAAAAAAAAACATTGTTTTGTTACTGGTCGTGAGAATATTCCATGGTTTAGTACATGGTTAATATATAGTACATTGTGTTATCAAAATAACATGTCATGTTTGTGGGATCTAAATGTGTCACAGCTACTGTAAGTTAAGAGTTTGATTTTATTTACTGAATTAAAAAGCCACTTTATCAGGCACCTCATACCTAATGAAGCAAACCTTAAGATATACGTCTTGTGTCTGTTGATCCTGACCACAGTTTCTGATAATGCACTTAATCCTGATGAACTTTTGACCTACAGTATAACATTTATTTATTCATTTATGTGTCAAAAGTCACAAAAGACAGATGACTTGTTGAACTCTTGAGTCAACCTTTTTTTTCAGTAATCACTGGTTGCACAAGTTATTAGGTTTGATATATTTATAGGATGTAATTGAATACTTACCTTTTCATAAGCATTTTCAAGGAATTCAATGGGGCTTTTCCCAAATGCAATGGCATGTCCAAGGAAAGGGATGCTGGAGGGTATGTAAGGAGGATATTTCTATGAAAACAAAGAAGACAACAAATAAATATAGCAAAAAACTAGCATTTTGAACAACAAAAAAAATATTTCAAATTAATTAAATTACCAGGTTCTTGTCTGAGGACTCTCTGAGGAGTCGTTTGGAAACATAACCCACTGTCAGAGTGAAGAACAAACCTGCCAGAACCACCGAGGTTAAACTGTCGTTCAGTTCACCGACAGTGTCCCTGAGCAGCTTGGTACTCATCTGGTAAAACTGCATCTACAGCACAACAAAATAATTTCACTCACACGCCGGGAGTTGGAACAGAATGAAACAAACACGGACTGAAATTGGGTCTTATTAGTGGACAGCGTCCGTTTCCTACCTGTCATCTCAAGGCCTGCCCACGCCTGACTATTCCTGGCTTCTGATTGGCTGTCAGTTACATGTCTGTCAAGCGGAGCTGGCTGTGATTGGCCGCCTGTACCTGAAGCGATGTCTTGCTATATGATGTCACGCTAAATTGACCCTTACTATAAATCGGAGTTTTATTTAATTTAGCGTGCATCAGTCTCGCTTAACATTCTAATAAATTCATATAAAGGTTTAGCCTAATCCTGCTGACCCACCAAAGGTAACAGAAATTCCCTAGACACATTAAGAGTTGAATATTTAACTAAAAGCTTAAAATTTAAACTAGTCAAAGATTACAGCGCACGTGTAAGCTTTAGCACTTACTGTCGTATTCAAGATTAATCACAAAATGCTGCCTTAACTAAACAAGTATTTTATTTACTACTTAAACTATGCTAATGTGTGCTAATACCGCAGCTTGGGTACAAAGATTTATTTTTGAAAATATTTTCTGATCATTTTTTAAATGGTAAAATAGACATCAGTACTTATTTTTGCAGCAATAACATGTTTTATAACATATTGCTGCTTATCTTACTTACCTTTAAAGTAAGTCTATGCTTTGTAGTCTCTATTTTAAGTTTCTGAGTTTGATATTTATAGTTCATGCAAGTAAGATTTTAACTTGTAAAAAACTACTGTCAAAAAGAGGTAATGCATTTTTGTTTGTTACTGGAGTGTATTCACTTAATTTGTGTCAAAAAAACTACCTGTTGACAAATATTCTTCATACATCTTTTTATTAATCATTAAATAATAAAACATATTTACACAGAAGTATATGACTCATTAAAATACACAAAGATAAGTCACAACAGATTTCAATGAGCTTGTTATGCAAAATGAGGCATTTTTGTGGAGAAGCTGAGTCTCTAGAATTCCTGTAGTTTGATGATGATGATGATGGTCAGTATGAAGAACCGGCTCTCATGTCTTTGGCAGATGTGTTTCCTTTAAAAGTTCTCAGCCGTAGGCGTATTTATCTGTAGGGCCTTTCTCGCTCGGAGTCATATGTCCACTCAGTTTCATTAAAAGCTTCACGATGAGGCCAGACTAAAGTTAAACGATAAACAAGAGATAAAGGTCAGCTAACCCTCGTGTTTTTGGATTTTTCTTTCAAGGAGTCAGACTTTCTTATAATCTTAAAATGTGGTCTTAATCAGTAGCACTGAAAGCCAGAAGAAATAGTCACAAAACCAATTTAAAATAACACAAGGCTCCTTGGAAGAAAATATTAAAAACAGAAGGGTGAATCAAAGCTACACAGAAAAGAAAAATCATGAAATGCAAACAATTCCTACAACTTTAACTCACATAAATTGAGCTACCTGTTTTGTGTGCACAATGAAGTTCATTTTGTTGTCACCGCTGTGTATCTGGAAGTACTGGTCCGCATGTCCCAGCTGCCACATGAACGTGCCGTATTCTAAACTGATGAGAAGAACCTGCGAGGGGCAACAATAAGAGATTATATATTTGTAGATGAAACAGGGTAAATAAGAYGTGCAGAAAATACCTTGGTTTCCATGTTCATAAGGTGCAGCCCCTTCGTGTTGACGCCGACGTACACACGGATAACTTTGTGGTTGCTCGCGCTGGCCTTGGTGTAGACCTGGCCTGTGAAGAAAGCAGCGCCATAGGTTGGGATGTCCCAGCAGTTCTGCAGGAAGAGCCTCTGCAGGTGGTGCATCTCTTTGCTCACCCCCTCACTGGTGCTCAGGGCCTGTTAAACAAACGAGACTTAAATTACCTCTAGAAGAATTTAGATTTTATTTAAAGTGTTACAGTAAAACTAATTGTACCTTGTATTCATGAAGAATCCTGTTGGTCCAATGGTRTGCTTTGCTTTTTACCTTTGATATCGGCACTATTGATTTCAAGTTTTCCTCACTGTTGAATAAAACAAATGTTTTTTTCCCTTTCAATCAGCTAAGCTAAAGTTATTTAATTAAAGACACTAAGTCTTGCACAGTGGGTGTATTAAAGGTATTAAACCACAAGTCTTACTTAAGAAAGCCTTGTTTGTGCTTCTTGCTCTCATAGTTGCCATAGATGATCTGCAGGAGGAGGCTGGCCAGCGTGATCAGTTTGCTGTCCGGCGCTGGAAAGAAGCCCTTCAGGAGGCAGTGACGGGCCTCGTCGAACAGGATGAGGATCGCCAGCGGATCTTCCACCTTGTTTCAAAGCAGTAAGTGGCAGAGTCAGGACGTTTTATCTAACAAAGAAAARACCTTTCTGACCCCAAGGTTACCTTTTTTTCAACTTCAAGTGGGAGTCGGACGTCCCTGCAGAGAAACAGCTGAGGCACCTCTCTTTGAGGGTCCAGCACGGTCAAGTCCGTCACTATTTCTGTCCAGATTCGCAGGTGCTGCAGAGGCTTGTGATACGGCTTCAACTGCAGGTCTGACGCACACAAAACACAMACAAATCATCTTGCTGCTCTACAAACATAGTGCATTTATAAAAAGTATGTCAACTGAGCACTTAGTGATAAGAAAAAAAACTAATTTGTTAACACTTAAAGTTGACCGAAGGTTGGTAAGACTCACGGAGGTTCTCTGAGCAAATCCAAATGGTGAAGTACAGCTGGGTCTCCTGAGAAAGCCGCATGCCCTCCATTATCTGCTGCACAGTTGTGTTGTTGCCATGTTTCAGCTCCACAGAGCGATAGGAGCCATCCATACGATATATACGCACCTTCTCATACTGTGGAACACAAATACACAAATGTCTTTTATACTGAAGTTAAAACGTGGGACTAAGTTTGAGGAAACGACGCCATCTAGTGACCATAAAAATTTATTACATTGCTTAACAGTTCCAACAAAAATGATCTTGTGTGCGCATTATAAATAAAAAATAAAACTGGTATATTATCTGAAAAATAAGCAGTGATACAAAAAAAACAACTTACTGGTTTGGTTTTGGTTTGCTGTAGGAGTTTTATTGTCTCCTCCCATTCGTTCTGTTTATTCTCCTCACACACCTGGAGAGGCGATCTCTTCTGCTGGTCCTCTATGTGCTGATGTAGGAAAAGTCCATTAGAATGAGCACTTTTAACTGTTTTACTTTATATAAAATAAAACAAAATATAAAAGAAAATATAGAAATATTAATGGGTTCAAAAAGCTGCACAGAAAAAATAAATAAATTAGCGTTTGGTACCCGATCAATCTCAGGGTGCTGCAGGAGGAGCTTCACTATCTCAGCGTGGCCTCCTCTCGCTGCAAAGTGCAGAGGTGAGCTGAGCTGGCCGTTCAGCAGGTTTGGATTGCAGTTACCTTTCTCCAGCAACAGCTTCGTCGCCTCGACTTTACCGTGCCTGAAGTAAATCGAGCAAATACCAAACTTAACAACGGTTCACTTTAAAACAGAACAAAGCCTCAGAAAAATGAACTTTTTAAAAAATGTAAACACTCTCAGACTCACCAGCAGGCGTAGTGTATGGGAGCCCAGTGATCGCTGTCCAGCTGCTTGACTGAGAAACCGCTGTCAAGAAGCTTAGAAAGCAGATCTGTGTCTCCTTCACAGGCACTGCGGTGAAGAGGAAAGTCCTCCACCCACTGGTGCTCCCTACAGAAACAAAACAAGTTTCAATAAAACTACCACACAACAGGAGCAGACGTTGATGGTAAATATTTATATAATTCTTGAAAGAATGAGCCTCACTTGTCTTCTGTCACACAGCTGGAGCCATGTTGCCATTTCTCCCTTTTGGGAATCTGGATCTTGGAGTAGTCTGGTGCTCCAAGCCCAAAGTATGGGTTTATGATTACTTTATCCACCTGAAGACAACAAAACAAACACAATTTAAGAGAACATAAACTATGTAGCTACACTAAGCTTATTTTGTTGCAAAACAAAGAACTAACTCTTACTCGATTGGTGTACTGCAGATCRGAGCCAAACAGCGGATTCAGGATGCACATGTCAGCCTTCTCCAGGGACATCATCTTGCTCTTAATCTCCAGGGCGGTGTAGCCCATGTGCAGACCGTCGTCACTCAGTTTGCCGTCGCTGCTGTAAGCCGGGTTGTTCACGTTGGTCTTCACGCGCTCGACAGGAGCCGGCCTGAAGAGGGCGGGGATGGCGTGAGGCACGGTGTGCTGCTCTGCTAACCATCTGTAGAGGAGCAGTTATCCAGACACTCATCCCACTGCRGTTTTCTGGAGCGTTAAAAACTGCATGCGCGTAGAAATTCTCACTTGTCTAACGCCAGGAGCATCTTGGAGGTGATGGAGCAGAAGTGCGTGCTGGTTTCACTGCACACACGCATGATGTCCTGGAAGCAATAGAAACTGGGGCTCCCAGAGYTGTGGATGGACTTGCTGTTGTCTGTGCAGAAGAACTTGTCAATCTGCAGCACGCACGGCCAAATCTACGTCTTAAAAAAATCTGCAGAGTCGGTTCTGTGAAACATATTCTCTGCTCACCTTTAACGCTGACTGGCACAACAAAAAGGGAGGCCTCTTTTCCTTCATTGTCACCTTCAAGAATAAACTTCTTCATATGCACCACACGCTTCCCTGCAAACAAAAACAACTTGTATTATTTGAGAAAGTCAGATCAGTCCTGTTGAACCATATCCCTTAATCTCACCTATGAAGCTTTGATTATTGGAGATGGGTCTCATTGTTTCATCAACATAATCCAATATGGATCTAGATTTGTCTCCTGGTTTAATCTTTGTTGCCAGAAGGACTTTCTTTCTTTTCTTCTCCTTTCCTTCCAAAGGCACTTCTTTCAGCAGGATCTTTGAACGTATAAGAAGACAAATATATTTTAGTTTTATATTTTGAAACAAAATGTTCTATGCTTCTAAAATGTTTACTGCTACTTAGTGCACCTCATAAGCTTTGGCTTTGTATTCCTTTGAGGTAAGGCTGACTTGATTCTTTGGACGAATGACGGCGACAAACACGTCTTCTAAGCCATCCTCGTTTCCCATCGCGCCGTCTTTTCTTCAGACCCAAGCAAACATCCGACATGAGGGCCAAATGCTGTGGAGAGGCATGCCTGAAACAAAACACTGCATCAGAACTGTGATGGGAATGTATGGTGATCTTTTAGGAAGCATTCAGCCTGATCCAAAAAGAAAAAAAGAAAGAAAAAAAATCTCAGAAACAAGTTAATTTGCCACTGTTTTAATAAACCTATTGTTGGAAAGGAAAAATACATTAAAATTTGGGTATATTTAACACTTTTGCACAATGTGTATAAGAAAAACTAGTATACAAATATTAATTTTAGGTGCTTTTCATATATTTAATATTAGATGTCTTTAATAGAGGCGAATAAATTTTTAAAATGTGAATTTTAAACCTGTAATATGCTATGCCATATATAATTAAAGTTTTATTTTCGTCTGAGCTGTAATAAAAGTACTAAAATAACAAATAAATATTACCTTTTGTTACAGTTTAGAAAACTGACTTAAGTTCAAAGAAAGGTCACGCCCCGGAAATAAGACTTTAAAGTGTTTTTTACGTAAATTGGTAAATATAAAGTTAAGTTCAAACCTCATGTTGTAATGTTGGTTTCRTCGTGTGCTTATATATTGTCATGTCAACATTAAATAAAGTCTGCATTTTTAATTTTGTCAGCATTTTCATAGTYGGGATGCTATGCTCATCACCCCCGCTTTTCCGCCCGACAAGCAGCTGAAACTCAGCGAACGCTACGAAAACAGGCCAAACGTAACYTCGGCCGGTTTTCCGAAATATTTTACTGTGTTTTAAAAAAATAGTTCAAAGCCAGGTAGCGGCACCGGGTTACCTTTCAGTGCGGTGACTTGCGGGGTTTGAAGTAGTTGTAGGCCCTTTTTTTTTTTTTTTTTTTTTTTTTTACTCAGGGCAGGGTTGCAGACACAAACAGAAGAGTCACGTTACGTTCGGTCGCAGCTGCGGCGCTTGGACAACAGCGACATCTAGTGGTGAGGTGGAGTCACTGCAGCAGTAGTTTTATTATGTACAGACTTTTTGTCATTCGGTCTAGAAAGGTAATAGGTTATTGAAAGCCTTTAATAGARCAGTGCTACAAYACTTCCTTTTTACAGTCTTATGTACGAAAGGATGGGGAGATAGGTAGATTAAAATACTTAGAGAACCCGACCAATCATATCAGCATTTAAAACACTTCCAAGTAAATACCACAGATTGTTTAAACATCACTGTTTTAAGTGAAAAAAAGTGTTTGGTTTCCTTTTAGTTGGAAGAATACATTTGATTTGTCCAAATCGGTCTCAGGAACGTCACAAATAAATTTCAGAGCAAGAACGCTTTAGTAAATGTATGAAAATGTTTTGTCTCATAGTTTGTACATCAACTCATCTTTAGAAAATGTTGATTGATTCAGAAACAAATTCCACAAACAAAACTCCCATTAATTTATTCATTTAATAAAAACACATTGTATAAAACTTCAGCATTTATTGAGATGTGACACAAAATGACAGGTCTTTAAATGAAAAACAAACAATCAATACAATAACTATATTGAAATCAAAGAACAGCTGCATTTTAAGTACTCACATGTAACATGGCTTTGGTTTATAGATTCTAAATATAATATAATTTGTCTTGTATAATTTGTACTGCCTTACAGGCTCTGCTGTGTTGCTGGCGTTAAACCCAGAGAACATGCTTTCGTTGTGGGTTTGTGTTCAGGACGATTTATTTTGACACTCATTCAGCACATCGTCGAATTTCTTCTGGATCTGCTCCACCCTCGGATACCACTTGTCCCGCATCTCTTCTTCATCGTCTTCTGTAACAGCTGTGTAGCCCATTAGTGCCATGAGGCCTTTCTGGAAGAGATTTGCAATGTGAAGGCAGTGCTGCTTCATTTTTTCATGGTCACGGTTGCAGGCATCCATGTACACTTCCAGCATAGGTCTGCTGAACACCAAACTTTTGTTCCCCATCACGCTGTTGTAGTACACTTGCAGGCCCTCTTCAGAGTGGTCTCTCTCGTAAATCCTCTCAAATTCATCCATGTGTTTCTTAGCGTTGGCCTGATCTTTCTTCACCCGTTCTATCATCTCTGTGAAGGCGTTGTACTGGTGCTTGATGCGCTCCTCGTACTTTTTTAAATTTTCGTTYACCTCACTGACGCGAATCTGCTTCAGCAGTTCATGGTTCTTATCAGAGATCTCTTTCAGCTTGGCGTGAATCTCCTTAAWGTCCTTGTCCAGTTCTGGATCGTGATGGCCGTTGTTCTCCTCCAAGCCTTGCCGGGCGGCGCCGACCACAGAGGAGACGATGCCAAACATGGGGTCGATGGAGGCGGCGAAAGACGTCACGCTCTCCAAGTAGCCCAGCACTTTGAYGGCAATTTGCTTCACTTCTTTTTTATCTTCCATGACTGCTGCTTTTCCCACCTCGCACAGAATGACGCTGAAGGCTGCGCAGATGTAAAAATAAGAAAATTGGAATATTTTTTAATTTAACTACTTGATACTCTTGGAGTTTATTTTCAAATAATATACTCATTAGTATGCTTTTTTCCACCTCATACAGTAATTTAATAAAATAAATGTCCAGTTAGAATGTAAATACACTCATTAAACTTATACCTTCACTCATTTTTTTTCAATTAAGTGTTAAAAATAGTGATTAATCACAGTTTGTTTTTACCAATATCATAAACCCGTGATAAAATGACATAAGCAGAACTCAATAATGGGATTTTAGTCCTAAACATACTTCCTTAAAAATAAAAATAAAAATGAGTTTGTTGTAAATGTTTCAAATCTGTTGTTCTAATTAATTACAAAGCAATTGGATGATCATTTCTGGGACCACAGACTGATACAAAGTTGTAGTGCATCTTTCTCATAGCTGCGGCATTAATCATCCCTGTCAATGTTGTCTTTCTGGAAAAATTACTCAGGAACAACAGTAGGCGTGTCTTTGTTATGATAAATCCAGCTCAAGCTGAATGACAAGTTCACAGCCACAGCTGATGATGATCCTCTGTATAATATATTAACATTTAAAACAACGTTTGACCTCTTTTTATGTTACATTGTAACATAAAACTTAAGGCGTGTTGTTTTGTTTTTTTATAGCCAGCTTCCTGAATCCCAGGAGCTCATTTGAATCAAGTCTCTCTTGCTCTAACGAGTCCCAGATTTCACACACAGAATAAATATCTTTCAGATTAAGAATAATAAGCTACAAAGGTGGTTTATTTTTACTCACCAGAGATGAAAATATGTTGAGATACCTCCGTCTAGACCTGCTCCCTGGCTTCGCTGTCCACCATTTTAAATCAAGTCAGCCAAGGACGGCCCATCTTTGCCAAATAAGGAAGTGAGCACCAGGAAGTGACTCCTGCTCTGTGCTGACTGGATGAGAMGACTTTCTGCAGACACGTGATTGGACTTCAGACAACCATTGATCCACATCAGTAACAAACTGTACCACAGGCTATGTTTTCTTTAGCCTTTATTGTATTTTACTGTAAACTCATAAATAGGTGATAAATACGTTTTTAGTTAATTAAACTCAAAGGTAAACATTCTGAATTAACACTAAGTTGTCTAATTAAGCATATAGAAAAATGCCTTTGAGCATCATTTTGACCAGCTATTCTCAAAAAGTACTTTCCACTGAAGYTTACAGTCAGGAACAAATTCCAGGAGCACACAGCACAACTAAACCCCCAGTAATTTATTCATTTTATTCAACACATTTTTCAGCATTTCATAAAAAGTGACACAAAATGATAGGTCTTATGTGTAAATCATACAATCAATATAATAAAAAAGATCACCTCATGTTCTTACATATAACATGTTTTAATATAAAGATTTGGATACTGCATAATTTGTTTTTCTACTCATTTGTTTGACATCAAACCCAAATAATATGATTTATTTGTTGGTCTGTGTTCAGGACGAGTCATTTTTRCACTTGAAGTGAAGCCCTTGTCCAGTGCTGGATCGTGGTCAGTTGTCTCCTCCAAGRTTTTTCGAGCCCCACCGACCACAGAGGAGGTGATACCAAAGATGGGGTTGATGGAGGTGGAGAACTTGGTCAGCGTCTCCACACAGCTCAACACTTTGATGGCAACGTCTTTTATGTCCAGGTTATCGCTCATAACTGCTGCCCCCCCTCCCCCGCCCCCTTAAAAAGAATGACACTGAAGTCTGCATGAATGTAAAAATAACAACAGCAGCATTTTAAACTAAACAGTTTTGCTTGATAYTCTCAAAATACAAAAAGAAAAAAATTGTATAGGTCTTCTGGACGGGTTCTTCTCTAATGAAACGTTTCGTCTCTCCTCCAAGAGACTTCTTCAGTCTGAGAGTTTCAGGCAWAATTCAGGCTTTTAAGCACCGCCTCCATGTGACTGATACTCACATCACATGGCTATCGTTGACACCTAATTAACACCTATTGTTAACAGGGGGTGGAGTGATACTGGCAATGGCAGCACTGTAGGAGGGGGACAACTGAAAACGGAGGCCTCCACCTCTGTTTAATGATGGACGGTCTTTCTTCACAAAAATGGCTTCTTTTACTCCTCTCTCAAACCAACGTTCCTCTCTATCAAGAATGAGAACATCCTCATCTCTGAAAGAGTGACCGCTGGCCTGTAAATGAGTGAAAACTGCAGAGTTCTGGCCGTTAGACATAGCCACAGCAGCCACTGTTCAAAAGAATGTCCCAACACAGACGAGCTACATCTAATGGCCAGAACTCTGCAGTTTTCACTCATTTACAGGCCAGYGGTCACTCTTTCAGAGATGAGGATGTTCTCATTCTTGATAGAGAGGAACGTTGGTTTGAGAGAGGAGTAAAAGAAGCCATTTTTGTGAAGAAAGACTGTCCATCGTTAAACAGAGGTGGAGGCCTCTGTTTTCAGTTGTCCCCCTCCTGCAGTGCTGCCATTGCCGGCATCACTCCACCCCCTGTTAACAATAGGTGTTAATTAGGTGCCAACAATAGCCATGTGATGTGAGTATCAGTCACATGGAGGCAGGGCTTAAAAGCCTGAATTTTGCCTGAAACTCTCAGACTGAAGAAGTCTCTTGGAGGAGAGACGAAACGTTTCATTAGAGAAGAACCCGTCCAGAAGACCTACACAATTTTTTTCTTTTTGATTTTTTACCTGGATTWCTGAGATGCATCAGGACATTCTCAAAATACACTTTCTTATTTAAGCAAAAAGGCATCAAATTAAAAGGTTTTTTTTTCAGTTAAGGGTAAAAGTAAGGATAMATCACAGTCTGACTTGGTTTTAACTTTGTTTTGCCATCATTCTGAAGATTTTCCTGTTAATATGACAAACTGAGAAAAGATTAGCACAAAGGCAGAATCTTAGTGCTAAATACAAAAAAAATCTGTTTATGATGTTAAAGTTTTTAAAGAACTCCTGCTTTCCTGCTGCTCATAAATGAATGTCTTTTTTTGGTCCATAAGTCTTAGATTTCACAAAAATTAAAGTGTCATCAAATTAGAAATTAAAAACTACGAATGTGATTCATTTTTACTCACCAGAGATAAAACGTAGATTCCTTCATTTATTTCTGCTGCTTGGCTTTGCTGCTGTTTTAAATAAGTCAGAGAAGGACAGCCCATCTTTGCCTGTTAAGGGAGTAGAGGCCAGAAAGTGACACCTGCCTTGTGCTGATTGGACGAGAGGACTTCCTCTAGACGCGTGATTGGAGTTCAGACCAAAGGCTGCAACAAAGCTTTTAATAGTTGGTCCTTTGTAACTTCATACATTGGAATTGGGTAGCAGATAAAGAAATTCTCTGTAAATGTAAATGAAAGGACAACACACTGAGAAACAAGAAAATAATTAAYATTTAGTAATCTAAGTGTCTATTAAAAATATGAGTACATGCCTGTGAATATTTTTGACGTGATTTCTCACTCATGTGTTTTGAAGATTTACTTTTTCATGTATATGTGTTCACTGCACAAAGATGCAGTAGTGTAAAAGTAAACASATCATGCTTCATTTTTATCTCCCACAACTGGACTAGTTTGTTGTGTAATATTTGACTTTCTGGACAGTGATATGAGGTGAAGTCAGAAAACACCTGCTTACATTTCCAGGTGTTCCACACACCTGAACACGTGTGTACATTTTACAGAATACGAGCTGAGCTGAGATCAGTTGTTTTGAGCAATTTTTCTGCCAGAATATATATTTTACAATTTGATTCAGCTTTTTTTTATAAACAAACAAAGAATGACATCTAATAATGCATTAATTTCTTTGCTGCAGCTTCRTTGTTCTTTAAATTGCCTGCACAGTGACAATTTTATTTGGTTTCTTCAGTTTGTTAACTATAATATATGTATCTATAATAT